CTCCCAAGCACAAGCTGATTTGAACATATTATACTCATGGTTTCAATATAACCTATTAACTATTAATATCTCAAAAACGTGTTACATTATCTTTAAAGCAAAAAATAAAACTATTCTTACACATACACCATTACTAATAAACAATGAACCCCTACAACAAAAATCGTGTGAAAAATACCTTGGCTTAAGAATTGACAGTCTGCTATCTTGGACCATATACAAACGAAACTTTCGTCCCTACACGGATCACTTCGAAATATAGTTAAATGCATTCCTAGCACATTACGCCATAATATATATAATGCTTTAGTTAAACCACACTTACAATACCTAATAGAAATCTGGGGTAATGCAGCTAAGACTAAATTAGGTGAATTACAAATCATGCAAAACAGGCTCGTGAAATTGATTTTTAATTATCCACATCTTTCACCAACATACAAAATTTATAACGAAACCAAAATTATGAACTTAAAACAATTATTTACATATAATACGTGCATTTTTACCCAAAAAATTCTAAACAAAAAAATTCAATCTAGTATATCATTCACTAAAATAAAACATACAACCCAACGTAGTACTCGCCGAGCTAGTTTTTTGGTTTTACCTAAACCTAGAACAAATTATGGTAAAAAAATGCTGACATACGAAGGGGCACAACTATACAATAAACTACCATCGTACATTAAAAATGTAAACTCATTTAATGTATTCAAAACTCGATTAGCCCAATATGTACGTACATCATTCACATAACTTGACCTCGGGTAAATGAATACATTAAATTAGTACCTACCCACAATGATGTTATTTATTTATTTATTGAGTGAAATGACGAACGAACCTGTACAATACTTTAAGTTATTATTGTTCTCAAGTAAGTGACTTTGTTTTTTATTGAGAATAAAGAATCTTTAATCACAAACATGATAAATATCTCGTTTAGTCAATATTCCTTTCCGTGTGGTGACGGACTAAGAAAACGCAATGTCACAACCCGTGGGTGTCGTAAGAGCCGACTAAGGCAGTAAAGAGAAGGAAAACTTGAAACAAACCCTATATCAACCAGTCTGACCAACGTGTTATAGTTGGCCAAAACCTCCTTTCTAAGGAAAGGCCTATGTCCAGCAGTGGACAAATAAAGGCTGTTGATAATGATAAACTTTATCAATACGTACTTTCTAATTGTTTTTTATCATCTAGGTACCTTATAACTGATCCAAATTGTGCGTGTACCTCAACGACCCCGCCATTCTTCATCTATCTTTTTACCTCTGATTTAAGAAAATGGACAAAGAGGAGAGTTAAGTTATATATTCTAAAACATTTTATAAATAAAATCCAACAGTTTATCGGATCCATTTTATTAACACAACTGTTAGACAACGGCATTTAGTTACGTCGCCACACAAATATTATAGATACAAATATAATAACTCAAAAATTATGTCAGGGGTAGTTAGTAGGTACTGCAGACTGAAATGTATTATAATACCTTTTACAGAAAGATTTACTCATGTTGTCAACCACCGAAAATTCCTGTATTTAACACAAACATGTTTTGAAACCTAAGACATTAATTACTAAGGATACCGATGGAATTTATGAATTTGTTCAGACATATTCACAAACAGAATCAGTGAAAGTGATAGGTACATTGTTTAGAAATCACAAAAAAAACTCTAAAGAAAAATAAATTTAAGAAAGAAACCGAAATTGTAACATATCCATATTATATCTTTAGGTAGGTCTATGCCTTTAGGTCACCTTTAGGGTCTTATAGTATGAATACAGCTTACTTTGCATTCTGTAACCGTTACTCCTTAGGTAAAGAAACAAATATAATGAAAAGCTCATAGCAACATTTTAAATTGAACTAGACATTTGATAGTAGACAACACAGATTCTAGCAGAACATTCACAAACATTAAACAATTAATTATTGAATATAAAAATATAAACCAGTTGTTAGAACTATGTATAGAGCGACTCTGATTGTTTATTATTGAATTTGCCTATTCTAATTGATGGCTCCGACACATAGTGAGTCACCGATTCATTTATTCGATAAATAACGGATTTTATTTATCGATTAACATCACAAAATTAAAAAAAAAAACAAAAATAGTTTGATATAAGTAACAGTAGTTTCATACATTTAAATAGTTCTCGTTTTTTTTAAATTTAAGATGACCCACTTAAATACGTTGGAGTATTATAATGTGTACACAAATAAGTACAAGGCATTCAATTTAAAGTGACCGAGTGTCCCTCAATAGCAAGCATTGAAATCGCGTCATTCGACGAACGATGACAAAAGTACGAATACCCTGTCTATATCGTGTGCCTTTCTCTTTAAGCACAGTCCAGCCGCTAGTTCTCTACAATTAAATTAAATCAAATACGGTGTAAAGATATCTAGCGCATAGCTACTCGAAATTTAAAAACGGTAGGAACAGACCTTAGTGACGCCACTGGGTGCAAATATTTGTACGAGTAAGTTCAAATTACATTTTTTCTATGGGCAGACTGGTCACCCAACTATCGCCAACTATAGCTGCAACTCCAAACATACATGTGCACCGTCATCAAAGGTGGCCGTTTAACACCGGTTTTCTGCAAGGCTATGGCATCACTCCGGTCGAGCGAGTACCTATGTGACGAAACTCTCTAAATGGGTTGCACGAGTGTGGGTATTTTATATAAACAAAGATGATCTAAGTATGTATATCTCTATCCTAGATAGCATTTTATAAACTATTCTTAGTTTTAGCGTCAAGATATTGATATAATATACTATGTTTTTTTTTTATTAAAATCTGTATGTCAAATAAGCACATCGCGTCTCGCACGTCAGTCTAGTGTGTGTCTACCTTAAAAATAACAATCACCTACTACCCCTATCTGGCCGGAAACCTTTTCAAGGTACATAAGTACTTATTATTACTATGGTTTATTTCCACTAAGGGCACAAGTCTCCGCGAGGCTTGTTCGATCGTTTAGTACAAAATACATAATTCTATTAGGATTTGTGCGCGCTATTCTGGGACCAAATTTACGTTTATTAGAAAAATAAAGGAGAATAGTAATTATTGATTTACTCAGCACAGACGTTTTTTATCACCAATATTTCTTCCGTTAAGTAGATTTCTGGTTGTAAACCTCAGAAGTTTCGAGTAGATTGCTATTGCGTGTTCGAATTTTAAAACTGAAAAATACTAGTGTCTGTGGTCGGATCCGAAGTTCAGGCATCTACGCATAAATAATTTCAGATCCAAAATGTAGTTACGAAACTTCTAATAAAAATATCTTGATGTAAGCAGACGCTAACCCAGTTGGAATAAAGTCGGTGTATTTTCCAAATTCAATTTAAACTTAAATTAATAAAAAATCGTGTCAAGTCTAAATTCATATCAAGGCATCTAAAAAAATAATAGTGTGTTACCATATTTATATTACATATTTATTGTACTTAACTTATCTATGTGTAGAAAAATGAAAGTTTCCAAATACTTTTGTGCCGGTAACTATTGAAACATGTGACGGTAGATGTTATAACAAAAATATAAACTTACTTTTAAACTCCACGTGAAAACAAAAATATAAATTGATTTCTCGATGAAAAAAAAATACCTTAACGAAACATAGTATAAAAAATAATTCAACATAAAACTATAGAAATTATTTTTAATATGTATAATTTAAAAATATACATCCATTTAATAATAAGACATAGACAAGTAGTCTATAGGGGATCATTTACAAATTGTTGGAATGTCCGAATGTTTGATATACAGTCACGATTGTTCATTTACGAGGGTGTCAATATTCCATTTACAATAATATAAAAAACTTACGTAGTAGTGTATCCCCCGAAAGCTAAAAACATAACACGACTTTTTGTTGACTGATAATCATAGCAATCGCATATAAAATATATTTAAAAACACTAAACGATAATTACACTTTTTTGTTTCAAAACCATCCCCACGGACTTAAAATTTATAAATACAACGAATACCAATGGAAGATTCTAACACGGAAGTCTCTGTATTTTTTTTTACAAAAGCAGCAATTAAACGCAACGCACGCAGGTCCGATTACAAAACATGTGTGTTCTATTTTTAAATGAGGTATCGAAACAAGTTATAAAGAAATTTAAACTTGGAATGTAAGTAACTCTTGAATAATGGGCGACGTACGTAATCATAATCTTCTCTTGTCTCTTTCCCTTCTATGATCTTTTAAGTAGAATAGAAAGGGATAAAGTACACAATAAGTAATATATGTATTTAGTTTCTGAATTTTAATAGATTAGTCGATTGAAAATAAAACATATTCAACAACTCATAAAAATATACATGATAATATTATGCTTTTTCTATATACATTTTTTACAGCTATACAGGTTATTAGAGAAACGTTCCGAAAACGAAAACAGAGGAGAGTACTACAGTACCTTTGATAACAAGTCAGAAAAAATCGATCCTGATGAAAAAATCAATATCTTTTTAATTTTTTTTAAGCATTATTTAGGCTCTTTCAACTTTCCGATCAGCTGTTTTGATTTTTTTCTCATTGGCGATATATTTTTACGAAATTATCGTTTCATTCAGATGATGGAACGCCATCATCAAAGGTATCTTTAGCGTTATGTATCATCTGTGTTCGTTTTCAGCAGCGTTTGCCCAGCACCCTGTTAATAGTGAGCTGTTTGTCATACTTCATTTTATATTAATCTTGTCTTCACAACACCGTTGCAGCAACAATAAAATAGTTTTGATTTATAAAGAAAAAGATTTTTAAAATACAAATTTGGCCACTTTATAAAGAATTAGAAACATCACACATCTCATAATCGGCTAGTAACAAACATATAATTACAAAATGTTATATTTAGACATCACCATGCCATGGTCCCACCACTAGTGGTCAATAGAGATGTACTTAAATAACCGGTGTGCCGACGTTTGTGCTCTATGGTCATTGGTGTTGACTTATTCAGACTTTTTCGACTTGCTTGTGGTGCTTGTGGATTCCACTATCGCAGGCTGGTCCTCGTAACTGTGTGACAAAAATTTCAGATATATATACAAATATGAAAAAAGATCTAACTTCCTTCGGCTAACGCTCAAATATTTGAAACCACCTCACAGGTAACGGTTTTTTTCTTCTACAAATTGACTTACTTTATCCTTGTTTAACACGATAATGGTAAAACAATAATTCCAGGCGCACCTACCACGGTTAGTTTAACCTAAAGGTGGATTACTGATACTAAAATCAAGCTCATTCATCTATACTAATATTATAAAGCTGAAGAGTTTGTTTGTTTGAACGCGCTAATCTCAGGAACTACTGGTCCGATTTGAAAAATTCTTTCAGTGTTAGATAGCCCATTTATCGAGGAAGGCTATAGGCTATATATCATCACGCTAAGACCAATAGGAGCGGAGCACCAATGAAGAATGTTTCAAAAACGGAGAAAATTTATTACTATACTTTATATAACACATTATTCTAACTTCACAAGAGTCCCTTAAGTCGGTCTTTTAGCTAGGATATAACATAAAATGAAATCCCTATGAACCCAGGCTTTTATACAAGACGGTCGTTCGATGGACGCCTCGTTCACTGTTACTAACAGAATTTCCAATATCCATTGCTTAACAGCTTACTGTTAAGACATTTATTTCACAAAATAATTCTTAATAATTACTACGACTTAGTTCGCTTCTAGTGTTTTAGTTGGAATAATGAATGTACTATGTCCAAACGTTTGGTATAGAAATCTAGTCCTTATATTATAGTTTTCACAATTCAATTTAAAAATTTCTCTCTCATTAAAATAAAATAAGCTGGTCAAGCATTTTGTATGGTCAACATAAACGAATTGATTGTCATGGGGAATGAAATGGGTATGTCTATAATGTTCAAAATGGTTGATATTGTGATTCCAGATAACATTATGGAGTATACAAATTGTTCCTTTGTTTGTTTGTGTTGTTGTTGTTGTTGTTGTTGAAGGCCAGGAAGGAAACTACTCAATCAAATTGGTAAAATAGCATACTGCTTGTTGGGAAACGGTAAACGTCTCGGTAAGCTTAATTTCTATATTCCTTAAAACATCCAAAGATTGACTGGTACAGAATACCAGAAGGTCAATTCTGGTAATAAAAGTTCGGTCACAATTCAGTTCCGATCAACTCTCGATCTCGCAACTCTCATAAAGGGATTTTCGTAGTAAAATAGTAAAGTATTACTAGGACTAGTAGATTACCGAATTTTCGGTTACAATACGATATAATCACATTACAGTCAACGTTGGATGTTTAATACTTCACTACGAATATACCTTTAATGACAGTTGTAAAATCGAGAATTGATCGGAACTGAATTGTGACCGAACTTTTATTACCAGAATTGACCTTCTGGTATTCTGTACCAGTCAATCTTTGGATGTTTTAAGCTGATTAATGAATTAAGCTTACCGCCACGTTTACCGTTTCCCAGCAAGCAATATGCTATTTTACCAATTTAATTGAATAGTTTCCTCCTAAAATTTAATTTCAGTCAGCATATTGTCTTAAAATACTATACAAGTTGTCATATGCGCTTTTGTTAAAAGGCTTTTTAATTACCAAATATACATTAAAAGTGAATGATTTTCCTACGTAGTGTAGGACGCGCACAGGCCAGGTGGAGTGACGATTTGCGCAAGATGGGGCTTGCAGGAGCTGGATACGAGAAGCCCAAAATCGATCTAAATGGCGTGCAATGGGAGAGGCCTATGTCCAGCAGTGGACTGCGATAGGCTGATGGTGATGATTTTCCTACACTAGGGTGTGACGTCATGTGTCAGTAAAAAGATTCTGCTTGGATTGGTCTAGTATGAAAGGGCGCGTGTACCTGAAGAGCGCGTTGATGTCCCCCCGCAGCAGCGCGAGCGTGAGCGGCGTGCCGATGCAGGCCGGCACCAGGTACAGCAGCGCGGGCTGCGCGTGCTTGAACACGTGCATCACCAGGATCGTCGCCAGCAGCCCCAGGATGTACGCCGAGAACGTCGCCCTGCGGACGTACACTCTTATTACATACCCATAGAATTGAAACACAACCAATTTGAGAGGCAACTGATGTGGAAGCTGATGATGAACCTAGCTTCATCTGTACAAATAAATAAAATTGGAGTGTCTGTTTGTAATATTAAAATAACCGCTTTTTACTAAATGCATATGTATGTTTACACGGTACATACGTCAAAATAACATTTTTTCAATTTTTGTTTGTCTGTCTGTTTGTTCCGGGTAAACTCTGGCACGACTGGACCGATTTCGACGGGACTTTCACTGGCAGATAGCTGATGACATAAGGAGTAACTTAGGCTACTTTTTTTAGACTAGCTTCGCCCCGCGGCGTTGCCCGCGGTTATAACAACAAACGCGGGTAACACCGCGGGTCTCAGCTAGTCCCTTAGTAAAAGTGATAATCTATGAAATATATTATAATAATAACTTAACACATCTCACACACGGCCGTCTGATCCCAAAACAGTCAGAGCCTGTACTATGGTAAGCAGCCTGCTGATAAACGTACTTATTTATTTCTAAATACACACATGTTGTAAATAAATTAAATCCAGACAGAACAAATGATTATGCTCAACACACAATATTGACCTGGGTGGGAATCGAACCCACGACCTCCAGCTTAGCAGTCAGGATCACGAACCACTAGAATTAGTTTAGTAAGTTTTGGTATAGAACCCACTTTCCTCGTTCCGATTTTCAGTTGATCTTGTATTATCTATACCTATGTTTAAAATTGCACCGTTTTATAGAAGTAATATTCATGTTTTGCTTTTCTTTTGCTGTAAAAGCTCATACCTAAAAAAATGTAGTAATATCTATAAATAATAAGCGTATTTCGAGAGCGATCTCTGAAGTTACTGCACCTATTTAAAAAAAAAACTCATTATTTGAATAGTATATTACACCATAGAAAAGTATAATCATTGAATTCATCCATTAAGTAGTATATTTTAAGCGGCGGCCGCCTAGTGGTTAAGGACTTGCGATCAAGAGGATGTGGGTTCGAATCGTGACCAGTACACTACACAAGCAATTTAGCTTAGCTGGAGGAAGTAACGGGAATCCTAGTAATTTCGGTTGCTAGTAAGTCTTTACTTTAGCGATCGAGTAACATAATCTAATAACAGAACATTAGAAGGAATGTGCAATTGAACATATGCTAATGTCAAACGGGGCGAAGTGGTATTTATAATACAATATATTTGTCTGACTTAAACGGTCCTTTTTAAATTGAATTATCAAAGCTTAACGTTGCTTACCTAAAGTAGAACTCGGAATTCCGCTGCAAGCTTTTGTCAAAGCGCAACAACAACGCGATGAAGATACCGGGCACAACGATGTCTCCCAGACCCAACATGGCGAAGTTACTCGCGTCTAAACCGTTCACCAATAAGTCTTGGGGGAACACCACTGAAAAAAACAATTAAACATTACTTTCAATCTTTACTCAAGTGTCGAGATTATGATTGACGAGTGACTTACTTTTTTATTTAAAGAAATATGTGACGTATCTTTAAAACAATAAGAGTAACAATTTTACACATCTCACATATGACCTTCTGATCCCAAGTCAAGCAGTGCCTGTACTATGGTAACCAGATCGCTGATAAACATATTTAATTCTACATGCGTACATTTTACACAACTACTTATCGGATGTTAGCAGCCACGTTATCTAACTAATAAACTAACAGGTCAATTTAACGTACTGGTGCAAAATTGTATGACAAATCTGTTAATAAGTTAAGGCCCAAAAGCACAACAAAAACAAACAAACTTATAAGTTTGATAACTAATTACATTTCATAAACAACCGTCTTATCTCAAACTAGGCAGAGCCTGTACTATGATAACCAGACTGTTGATTAAACATGGGACAAAACCAAAGTGAACTGTGATTTATCATTCGCTTTTTGCGTTCGTAGGTTAGGGTTTTTTTTTTTAATTCTGCATCCTGTGACTCGTGTAAAGCAGCGTCCACACTGTGCCGGAGTATGCCGGGCGAGGCCGGGCGGGCTGACCCGGGCGGGTTCGTTCGGGCCGGCACGACGTCCACACCGAAAACGAGGCCGCCCGGGTTATATCTACCTATTAGTTTCAATTCGACACCAAGACTGGACAACTAAAGCCGCCCGGTGCCGCTCGGCACGTCCCCACTACATATTTTCGTTCGGCTCGGGCCGGCATCCTTTGATCTGTACCTACTTTCTGCGGGTTGGAATCGGCTCGGCTCGGGCCGGCTTTTTAAGCCGCCCGGGGCGTCCACACCAACCCGGCTTAGGCCGCCCGGGTCAGCCCGCTCGGCCTCGCCCGGCATAGTGTGGACGCTGCTTAAGTGTCACAGATCGTTATAATCTAGGTTATGTCTATGCTACATAATTTAGATATGACAATTATAAGGTCCTATTCTACGTGTTTTTGTAACATCATGAACGACTACAATTTTCTCACAGGCTGCTCCTGTACATTCTGAGCCAGCGTGTGTAGTACTTAACCGTAGGTTAGGGTTGGTAGGTAGGTTAGACGCTATTTAACAGTAAATCTAGTATTTTTTATGTGTTTATAATAAAATAATTACTAGATTTACTGTTGAATAAGCGAAATAGGGTCTTTCGTCATAAAACAGCTTATTGGCAACAACGCGTGAGTAAGTAATAATAATAAATAAATAATAAAGCTTTGTTGGAAACTAGAACAAAGGAAACAGTAACATCAATCACATCAACAGCCTATACTAGTCCACTGCTGGATATAGGCCTCTCCTTAGAAAGGAGGTGGCCACGCTGGCCAGACGGGTTGGTATAGGGTTTGTTTCAAGTTTTCCTTCTCTTTGCAGTGCTGTTGTCCTGCTTAGTTTGCTCTCTTAGTCGGCTCTTACGACACCCACGGGATGAATTGGGGTGGTGACAATTTGTATTCTTAATCCGTCACCACACGGACTATCCGTCACCACACGGACTATCCGTCACCACACGGACGGAGGGAAACAGTAACATTTTATGCAAAAGTGTCTGCATTAGTTAAAAGAACTGTGTCGCAGACATAATAAAACTAACCTACATGCGAACAAATCGAATGATAAAACACCGGTCTTTCACAGTTCATTGTGATTTTGTCCCATGCCTACTGTTGATAAACACATACATATTTCGAAATACATACATATTATAGACAAATTACACTCATACACACAGCACAAACGATCGTGCTCTTCACACAGTTATTTGTCCTGGGTGGAAATTGAAGCCAGAGGGCTGGAGTTGGTCACCACTTGACCAACAGTCAAAGATAAAAATAATTTCAATAAAGATCAACTTACGTTTAATGGGTGCTTCAAAGCTTTTGGCAACGGTAACCATGACATTGGTGCCGAACACCCAGAATATGTCGTAGAGGAACAGCCCGCAGAGCAGGATGCAGCCGGTGACTACGTTGTTCAGATGTAGGAGCTCCACACCGTTGATAGCGAAAGCTATGCCGAAGAGATTGTTGGCGATCCAGTGCTGATGAAAAAATATATTCTCATTCAGGCCGAAAACCCAAGGGACAAAAAGGGGGAAAAAAAAAGGGTTGGGGGGACCCCCCTTAACCCTTTTGGGTTTACTTTAGCATCGACATGCCCCCTTTTCCCCCCAACCCCCAAAAGGGTTTTAAAAAGGCTTTTTTGGGGGAAAAAGTTTAGGGGTTTCCCCGGAAAGGGGGGGGCCCCCCCTGGGAAAACCGGGGGGGGAAAAACCCTCAAACCCAAAAAAAACCGGCCAAAGCCCAGCCCCCAAACCCGCAAACCAACCCCGCAACCAATCAACTACTTGTTAATGGCAGACCAACACGCCGTTCCAGTAGGACCCCAAAATCACAAAAAACTGATGGCGTTGGTGACGATATCAGTAAATCATTCAACGTTACTGATATCGTTACAGCGATAAGTTGCCTTAAGTCTGGTAAAGCCTCTGGAGTCGACGACATCTCAGTCGAGCAATTAAAACAGCTTGGCCCAGTTGCTGTGTCGTGGTTGCTGCAGCTTTACAACAATTGCCTGAAATCAGCTTCAATACCCCGTCTCTGGAGAAAATCTAAAATCATTGCAATCCCTAAGCCAGGTAAAGCAGCAGACGATCCTAAAAACTTTCGCCCTATCTCTCTACTATGTCACACATATAAACTATTCGAGAGACTGCTGCTGAGCCGTCTTACGGGCGTCATTGACCCAAAACTGATTCCCGAGCAAGCTGGTTTCAGACCCGTGAAGTCTTGCAGTAACCAGACTCTTAAAGTGGTACAACACATTGAAGATGGCTTCGAGAGAGGAATGGTCACTGGTGCTGTATTCGTGGACCTATCAGCTGCCTACGATACAGTCAACCTCAAGAGGCTGTTGTGGAAGGTGGAAACCTTGGTCAACGATCAAAATTTCATCCGCATACTCCGAGAACTTCTCCACAACCGCCGATTTCAAGTCCACCTTCTCTCGGAAAAAAAGTCGTTGGAGAGCACAGAAAAACGGCCTACCTCAAGGTAGTGTCTTGGCACCGCTTTTATTTAATATCTATACCAATGACCAACCATCCAGCCCGCATACCTCCCGCTTCCTCTATGCAGACGACCTTGCCCTTACCTCCCAAGCCACCACCTTTGAAGAGGTTGAGGTGTCTTTGTCAAACGCTCTTGGTGACTTAGCCACTTACTACCGCGCTAACTCACTCAAGCCCAATCCGAGCAAAACGCAGTCGTGCATATTCCATCTTCGCAACAGAGAGGCGAGCCGCAAACTTAACATCGTTTGGGGTGGGGTATCCATAGAGCACAGCAACTTTCCAAAATATCTGGGTGTTACTCTGGACAGGTCTCTAACATTCGGCAAGAACTGCAATAACATTAAGCAGAAGGTACACTCTCGCAATAGTCTTTTGCGGCGACTAGTCTCTTCAAAGTGGGGTGCTTCGCCTGACGTCATGCGGACTACTGGGTTGGCGCTATCTTTCTCTGCGGGTGAATTCGCGTGCCCCGTGTGGGGTCGTTTCAGCCCATGCAAAGTTAGTGGATACAGCACTGAATGAAACGTGCCGGATAATCACTGGCTGCCTCAAGCCGACCCCGGTACAGATGCTGTATCCACTGGCAGGCATAGCGCCTCCAGCAGTTCGCAGAGCGGTGGCGAGCTCTAGTGAAAGAGCCAAAATGGTCTCCGACGCTAGACACCCTCTACACAATAACATCATAGTACCGCAAAGGCTGAAAAGCCGCAACAGCTTTTTAAGGTGTGTACCCCCGCTCACTGGTGAACGCTCTAAGGAAAGACTTAAGTTGTGGCAAGATAGCGTTTCCTTACCCAACCCATTTGTGCCACTTGCCGAAAATCTTCCACCTGGACACGAGTTGCCATGGCTGACCTGGAAGTCTCTAAACAGACTCCGGACACAGGTAGGCCGAAGCAAAGAAAACCTGTTCAGGTGGAGATTCATAGACGACTCTGCCCTGGAGTGTAAATGTGGTCTTGCCCCACAAACTATGGGGCACTTGACATCGTGTCCAGCCTGTCCTGTTACTTGCACATCACAGGAACTGATGGAGGCTACTGAAAGTGCCGAAATTTTGGGCCGACTCAATTTGAATTGTCATCGACACGCTAAGAAGAAGACCGCGGGTCTCAGCTAGTCCCTCAGGAAAAGTGATAATCTATGAAATATATAATAATAATAACTTCACACATCTCACACACGGCCGTCTGATCCCAAAACAGTCAGAGCCTGTACTATGGTAAACCTGCTCATAAACGTACTTATTTATTTCTAAATACAAACATGTTGTAGATAAATTATATCCAGACAGAGAACAAATGATTATGCTAAACACACAATATTTACCGGGATGGGAATCGAACCCACGACCTCCAGCTTAGCAGTCAGGATCACGAACCACTAGACTTAGTTTAGTAAGTTTTGGTATAGAACCCACTTTCCTCGTTCCGATTTTCAGTTGATCTTGTATTATCTATACCTATGTTTAAAATTGCACCGTTTTATAGAAGTAATATTCATGCTTTGCTTTTCTTTTGCTGTAAAAGCTCATACCTAAAAAAATGTAGTAATATCTATAAATAATAAGCGTATTTCGAGAGCGATCTCTGAAGTTACTGCACCTATTTAAAAAAAAACTCACCATTTGAATAGTATATTACACCATAGAATAGTATAATCATTGAATTCATCCATTAAATAGTACATTTTAAGCGGCGGTCGCCTAGTTGTTAAGGGGTTGCGATCAAGAGGATGTTGGTTCGAATCGTGACCAGTACACTACACAAGCAATTTAGCTTAGCTGGAGGAGTTAACGGGAATACTAGTAATTTCGGTTGCTAGTAAGTCTTTACACAGGAAACATATAGAAATAGGCGATCTAGTAACATAATCTAATAACAGAACGTTAGACGGAATGTGCAATTGAACATATGCTAATGTCCAACGGGGCGAAGTGGTATTTATAATACAATGTATATGTCTGTTCTAAAGACTAGTTTGACTTAGACAGTAATTTTTAAATTAAATTATCTTTGCTGTTTTAGTTCCTTACCTAAAGTAGAACTCGGAATTCCGCTGCAAGCTTTTGTCAAAGCGCAACAACAACGCGATGAAGATACCGGGCACAACGATGTCTCCAAGACCCAACATGGCGAAGTTACTCGCGTCTAAACCGTTCACCAATAAGTCTTGGGGGAACACCACTGAAAAAAAAACAATTAAAAATTACTTTCAATCTTTACTCAAGTGACGACGTTTACTTTTTTATTTAAAGAAATATGTGACGTATCTTTTTAACAATAAGAGTAACAATTTTACACATCTCACATATGACCTTCTGATCCCAAGTCAAGCAGTGCCTGTACTATGGTAACCAGATCGCTGATAAACATATTTAATTCTACATGCGTACATTTTACACAACTACTTATCGGATGTTAGCAGCCACGTTATCTAACTAATAAACTAACAGGTCAATTTAACGTACTGGTGCAAAATTGTATGACAAATCTGTTAATAAGTTAAGGCCCAAAAGCACAACAAAAACAAACAAACTTCTAAGTAAGATAACTTGATACATTTCATACACATCCGTCTTACTTACTCACGCGTTGTTGGCAATAAACTATTTTCTGACGATACATAAAGACCCTATTTCGCCTATTCAACAGTAAATCTAGTAATTATTTTATTATATATACATAATACACATAACAAAATACTAGGTTTACTGTTAAAGAGCGTCTAACCTACCTACCTAGCAACCGTAACCTACGTGCACAAAAAGCGAATATCGTCAGAAAATATTTTATTAGGTAGGCTTGCTAGGTAGATAGGTTAGACGCTATTTCTTTATGTATCGTCAGAAAACAGCTTATTGGCAACAACGCGTGTGTAAATAGTAACCCTAACCTACATTGCGAACAAATCGAATGATAAAACACCGGTCTTTCACAGTTCATTGTGATTTTGTCCCATGCCTACTGTTGATAAACACATACATATTTCGAAATACATACATATTATAGACAAATTACACTCATACACACAGCACAAACGATCGTGCTCTTCACACAGTTATTTGTCCTGGGTGGAAATTGAAGCCAGAGGGCTGGAGTTGGTCACCACTTGACCAACAGTCAAAGATAAAAATAATTTCAATAAAGATCAACTTACGTTTAATGGGTGCTTCAAAGCTTTTGGCAACGGTAACCATGACATTGGTGCCGAACACCCAGAATATGTCGTAGAGGAACAGCCCGCAGAGCAGGATGCAGCCGGTGACTACGTTGTTCAGATGTAGGAGCTCCACACCGTTGATAGCGAAAGCTATGCCGAAGAGATTGTTGGCGATCCAGTGCTGATGAAAAAATATACCATCATAGAGTATTGTACCTCCTAATCGATTTGAACAAACGATTTCTTGATCACACGGTCAATATGTGATCTCTTCCATTTCATCTAAATGCTTGCATTAGGAGCGGAGAAGATTCAAACACTAGACCGCTTGATTGCTAGACTGACGTCTTAGTCAAGAACTTGGGACTGTTAATCATTGCTTACCTTCTTAAATAAGTACCAGGCGCCCAGACAGAGAGAGATGAGTACACAGATGACGTCATACGAAGTAAATTTGTAGTTGATGATGTCAGAGCGAGTGTCCCGCTCGCCCCGCGTGAAGTGGATGTGGTACGACACATTCGGGATCGACGCCGGCACCATGAACGAAATTATTGGGCTGTATATAACAAAAAGAGTTTTGTTTGGTATAATAATCAAGCAGTATAAAGCATACAGAATATACTAGGTATACATCAGGTTTATTCCTGAAAAATACCGCATTAAAGTGGAAAATGGCGAGACTATATGGTGATTAAATGAGACTTGATTCCCAGGGAGGATGTAGTTGTTTTTGTAATATCTAACCTGAGCGTTTTATCTGACCTGTATTTGTATTAATTATCATGTTGTGTTTGCGTGCAAGTCGAGATGTGTACATGGTAGAGTTGTAAACTCAAAAGCGATTTACCTCGGACTGAATAAATCTTTCTTATACCTGGCTTTTAGTATGGAACCGCGTATACACTCAAACTTTTAAGTACCAAAGAATATTCTCTAAAGAGATAAGCAACTCCTGAGTATGACATTTACATTTATCAACGACTTTATCACGTTACTTGCAGTATTTGTGTTTTTTTAAAGACAACTCACGCATGAGGAATATAGAATCCTGTGTAGCGGGGGAATTTACAAACATACAAGAAACGGACACAGAGATTCAGAGCAACAATTTGTGGATCACACAAAGCGTTGTTCCATGTGGGGATCGAACCCACAACACTCAACGCAGTAGAAAGCGGCGAGGTGACCGCTTAAACCACTGCGCCATCCGTGCAGTCAATCTGACAACGTTTATTAGTGTAGTGTGACAGCAGTACAGTGACAAGTCGCTCCATCCGTTGGTAAAGACCTCCTATTCGGTCAAAATCGAATCGAATTAGAGTTTTGCGGTAGCAAATAGATTAGTACTAGCCAATAGGTTTTCATCATCATCATCATCAACAGCCTTTAGTAGTCCACTGCTGTACATAGGCCTCTCCTTAGAATGGAGGTTTTGGCCTACTATACCACGCTGGCCAGACGGGTTGGTATAGGGTTTGTTTCAAGTTTTCCATCTCTTTGCAGTGCTGTTGTCCTGCGTAGTTTGCTCTCTTAGTCGGCTCTTACGACACCCACGGGATGAATAGGAGTAGTGACACTCCGTATTCTTTCACACGGACCCGAATAGGTTTTAGTGATCATTATTACCAGCCACAAAAATTATTACACTAATTTTTTACAGGGGCAATGTATCAAATATATACTGCAAAATCGTCTTCAGGCGGTATTTATATGTTACTAACCTGAGAAGATGACTCAGCGCGAGCACTCCGAGGAAGAAGAAGTACCCAGTGAGTAACAGATTAATATATTCTTTAGAGAAAAATTGAAAGAACACGTAGAGAGCGAATAGCGCACATGAGGCAATTATAGGGAACATCAAGGCGTCTTTATTTGACATCGTTTCCGTTCGGCCTCCTGCATCCTGTAGACAAATAAAAGGTTTTTAATCGTCATGACATTCACTCCCATCAGTAATTGCTAAAGAGTCTGAAACTCACGTCACAATCAGAAGATATTGACAAGAGCTTTTGTAAGTCAACCGATAAATTGCATGCAAATTTTTTACTGGTATAATTACATACTGCCTTGTAGGCAGTATGTAATTATTCAGTCATCGTGTTGAGTCTTTCTACACGGGAATTTAATAATTTAACACTGAAAACGTATTAGTTATTAACTTAAAATGAAACAAATAATCACCAGAAACCAGATATTACAAATACACACAACTTGTTGACACTCTTGACAGTGTAGGTTGACGTCACGCTTTATTCAACCAATAGCGTTGCGTTTTAGAAATTTGCGAGGGAATCTTAAAAAAGCCAACTTTTGATGATTAAATTTCACTATTAAATTATAATAAATTTCAAAAATAATTGTATGGGTATCTTTTTTTAGCAATGAAAATTACAAATAAAAATATTTTGTCTATTTTGGTGTCACGTGCATATTCCCTATTATTCTTTTATAAGTTCAAAAAAAAAAAACATTTTATCGTAAAAATGCGTAAAGTGCTAAAATGATAAAATGATTTTTCTTTTTACTTCGTCTAATTACAAAAGCGTGTTATTTATTTTGGCTTTTTTAGTCATTAATGATGATTATTTTCTCATTAAGACTAAAAAAGTAACAATTATGTTACATATGCTTCAGCACACGCCTCTTAGTACGTAGCAAAACCCACTACAGTATTTTCAGAAATGGAAAAAGCCGTTAATCCTGAAGATCCTGATCAGGATAATCGGCCACATTTATCAAATTATTGTATTGTCATCGGTCCTTGATAGGTGTGCGAAGTTTCAATTTAATTCGACGTTTTAAGTGGATCAAATTACGTTCAAAGATTCTGTTACATGCCAAGTCTGTAAAAGCGTGTTAAAAATAGATAGTTTGTGGCGTTAAAATGAAATAACAAATATTTCAATGTACCACGGCCCACACAAAACCGCTGTTACGAAATGATTTCGTTAATTTTCATTAAGTGAGTGTGGACAGTGGAGCCTTAGCTTTCCCTCCCCTGCTGCGTGTTCCAAACCAGTACATAATATAGGTATTGGTTTCGAATACACAATTTTGGTTAGTTTTTACTAATATATGACCAAACCGGTCACATAGAAACAATAAAAACCTGTCGTAATGCGTCTTATCTAGCATTTTTATTACGACTCCGGAAGTAATTCATGACCGTAAACGTTTTATACCTAATTTAGTTACGGTTTCGGATACATTCTGAACATCGTATTTAAATTGATCCTTCAAAGGGCCGTGGTCGTGAATTTTTCTTTGCCCTTTCTTCTCACAAGGCTCACCCCTTGGAAACGGAATTTTGGATACGTATATATTTATTTTGCCAAATAGTTGACAAAACAGAGAATTGGTGCGTGTTGATCTATGACTTAAGTCTACATAAGACTATTTCATACTTTTTTTAATGAAATAAGATAGTTTTGCGGTTGAAAATAAGCTTTCTGTTCGGTTATTTATTTTGTCCCTTAACTCCTTATCTAACTTAACGACGAGCAAAGATGCTAATCCCAGCTAATTTAAATTTATTATTTTGCTATTTGTACTGTATGCGTTTATAGAACATACATTTCACATACTACCCTGGTGTTTTCTTTGAACCGTAAGCTTGAAATCAATCATATATACAAGATATTTGTACATAGTTATATGTACAGCTTGCCCTGTATGCTAGCTTTTAATAACAACACATATTCATTGTACTTTTACGAATCTCAATTATACTGATGAACATTGAAAAACATGCTCTCTGTTAGAGCTAGCTCAAACTTCTCTAACTATTGAGTTAAGACCCATTGTTACTTTATGTGATGGGCTATTTTAAGCTGCCCTATATCTAATTTACAACTTAACAATTTAAACAAGACTTATTATTATTTATACAGGTAAACAACTTCATGTACAATCATAAGATTAACACATATGTTTAAAATCAATAGGTTGTTTTGATATCTTATCTTGAAAATAAATATATTTATATTTTTGTCTATAATAAAGTACATAGCTACAGATCAAAAAATAAAGTACAAAGGTTGTATAATGCTCAATCATTTAGCATTCTACGACCTTTACTTTGTTTATATCCAAGTCAATTATGTTTTAGTTTGATACATATCTATGAAAATTGCTTGAAACCGTTCTTTTATAAGTTAAAAAATTACAAATTAACATACAATGCCACTGCAAGGTTGTTTTCTGGAATGTAAAATTATAATAATAACTAACAAAGTTAATATGCTAAGCTATCTGCCTGGGGGTAGCAGTTCATCAGACAGACATTATTTGTCTTTCATAATTTTCATCTATATTGATAACAAAGTAAAATTACATTTTTTAGATTGATATTTTTTTATGTACAAAAATTAAGTTTTCATAAATATATTGCTATGTCAGTTCTTTGAATTCTGACTTGGTGAATAACAATTTTTGACTTTCCTTCTTTTGCCAAAAAAAAACTATTTATTTTGGTGTTAAAAAACTACCATAATATTAAAAAGTAAACTTTGTTTAAAAATCTCGTTTGTTTTAAGTTTTGGAACGAAATTCCTTATCATGCGTTGTGAAAGGGGGCTAGACGGAAAAAATTCTCACGAAAAGACACTTTTGTAACAACGCTTTTTATTTTGAATTGTCACTTGTCAGTCATTGAGCGCCATCTATTGAATAGATAGGAAATCATTACTTTTCATCTCAGTAAAATTAAATATTGTATTCGACATCATTTCTCAAGGAGATTTTACCAATGTATAAATTGTTTTAATTCGAAACCAACTGAAAAATATGTAGGTAATAGCCGCTTCCATAGATGGCGTTGTAATTAAAATCGTGTCGAATCAGTTTTACCCGATCGTCACAACTTCGTTCCTATAGGGTGTCCCACGACACCACACGGCTTTTTTCTTCTCTTATCTTCTGTAACTAATTTATAATGAGACAATTTATGTGGCGAGTAATTTACAGTACGTTCACTTTTATACTGTCTGACATTCTCACGAGTCATATTTAAATTAGTATATATAATGATTAGGTTATTTTGCTATGTATAAAGGTTGTAAGAATTTTATTATTGTAATATATATTGGATATACTATTTATCTCATGAATAGGACACAAAATATTTATTGTAGGAAATAACAATGTCTCTGTATGTGTGTAAAAACATAGTTAACTTAAGGAAATACATTACCATTTATTATATTATCCTTGTTTGAATTGGGAAATGTAAGGGAAAATAGATAGGAAGGGTTAAAAACTATCATTTTTATTTGTCTATATATATTTTGTTGTGTATATATATTTAGTTTGAGGTATAGTTTTTTCAAATCCAGTTTAAAAGTTACCAAATATCCCATTATTACCATTATTTTTGGTTGTTTACACATAAACATACACACATTGCACCAAATTCATTTGTAGGAAGTACAAAATTAATCTATTTTAAATAGAAAAAGCAATAAAAATATTACTAGAAACGAATTATTTCAATCCTAAAAATATGCACAATCACAATGAATGAACTTATGTAAATAAATTAACAGGCCATTAAAAACTCACTCTTCCGGAAATAATGACTTCCACAAAAACTTAAAGGAGGACTTATATCTCCTAAATGTAGTTTGGGACATTTAAAAAACTTCTGCAGTAAAACAATCATGCAAGACAGTACCGTAGTGTTTCCTTAACAATTTTGCATATCAAGATGGCACAAACAGCAGCAAATTTACCTGACTTACTGACATTAAGGCACATATTTTACAAGATGTCTCAGTCATGAATCTAGTCGTACAACTAATTTTAACTACAGATTTTATAATTGAATGTCACTTAAAAACCAGATTCACCAATCCATACTCAAGTGAGTGATAGCTTTTTTTAGAATGATGTCAAAATCTTTACTCAGGTATAGATTTTGATAGCTGTGACAAGCTGAAACTAGTATCAAGCGGTGATTTCTAGGACATTTTGGGGGAATTGAATATGTTTTATGATGATTTACTTTCCTTAATTCATGGCAGAATTACTTGTCATACTACAAGTATAATCTATTCACTTTAAGTTGCCTTAATTAATTTTATTATTTTTATTTGCAGGTTTTATAGACACCATAAAACAATCATCACCTCGTGACATAGTGTAATTAATATATTATGATATTGATCTATAACTAGAAAATATATTATTACAACCAATTTCTGCACAACATATCTATATTTTGAAATGAGGAGATGCAATCTCACTCGTCAAATAATCATAAAATTGGGATAATGGGGCCTTATACATGAAAATGAATATTGTTTATGTAAGCACTCTTTAAGATGGCTGGCAAGAGCAGGATGCGTGAAGCTGAAAATCGATTGCAGTGGAGTGCAATAGGAGAGGCCTATGTCCAGCAGTGGACTGCGATAGAGGTGATGATGATGAAGCAGTCTTTCAGTAATGAAAGAAAGTGATATTGAGCATTGGTTGTTCTCAATGTTTTATACAAAATTCTCATGTATAACAGTGCAAGTGATCTGTGATTCTACTCTTTAGACCTCCCCCCAGAGTTCAGGGCGGGTGGGGGTATTAAGTACTGACATAGCCCACAGGAAGGACACATCAACTTAGAACAGATTATACGAGAGAAGAAGATGCTATAGAGAAATTATGCAATTAGAAGATTATGATAGTGGATTCTACTAGGATTATAACTGAAAATGCTAGTTTATACTAGTTTAATTTACTTTTTTACTAATTAATTTTACCTATACTAATTCTATGCTTGATAACCATTGAAGAAATAGAATACACACAAAAAAAAACAATTCTTATCAACCCATCTGGTACATCACATTTTATAAGCAATTTCGTTTTATACGCTAATAAATCTATTTCAAAATATTTATTAGTTTTATTTTAGGTGTAATTTACTACTTTTTTTTTTAAATTGATTAAGGTACTATTTTATGTTACAACTAATTAATATAATGTTATAAATTGTTTTAAATTTTAGAATACCAATGTTTTGCATTTCTACTGAAGAACCTTCAGCGTTTGACAAGTCAACATATGCCACGATGATAAGACGTGTGTCTTTCTTATTGGACCTAAGAACATTGGTCAAACATGTGATAAAATTGAACCTCAGAAGTATAAAACTGAAATGTGACTTACCTTTTGCTCTTTCAAGTATTTCACTGACCTAAAAGATCCGAAAAATATGGGTAAAATAGCCATAATCACTAAACTCAAGTATGCAATCGCGACGCCTTCAATACTCGTCGGTGGTTTGTCTGTAACATTTTTAACAGCTTCTCTGACTGTATTTTCAATACTTATAGGAATTTCTGTAGCTGATTCAGCCATTTCGTACGATATTTGTGTTGAAATGCGTGGCGAGATGGGTTTCACACTACGGGCTACGGACCTACTTTGACAAGAAACTGACAAGTGTACAGTTCCGATAGCTAAGGTTGTGCATCCCGTATGCAAAAACCGTACTTTAGCTCAATTAAATTATTGAAAATATAAATTCTGATAGTAATAATATACCAGTATTTTTAGAAAAATAATAATAAACCTAATAAAAGGTGAAATTATTTTAAATATGAACCTTGTACATTTTTGTAATTTAACTTGATCAAAAGGCCGAAGTGTCAATTAAATAAGTAAAATCATTAGAAAAAAACAGTGTGTCAAAATAAGTTAAAACAAGTCAGACGGGTACAACTTTCGTTTCTAATTTTTCTTGAACATAATATTTATTAAACTATCTTGTCGTAGCTACTATCTAGTAAGTCATGCTGAAACGTTTAATAAATACAGTTTATAGTGTTTTGCCTAAAAAGTGATATTTACAAATCAAAATGGAAGTTTCTGGTGGTGCTGAAGAAGGTTTTGTAAGAGAATGGGCCCCCTGTTCACATATATTAAATCTAATTCCACCTCGGATACAGACGGGCATATTCTCCAACGAGCTGTATTTAACGTGTGTCGACGCGGTGAGCGAGTATATAGCGTTGGGAACCAATGTTGGGCTTGTGTATTGGTATGATCGTAAAAAAGGCAATATACAGAGATTGAGATGCGAGGTAAGTTTTATCAAAATGCCAGAGATTTTTTAAAATTAAATGTGAACCACATGCTCCAGTACTCACGCTTATTAGATGCTAATTCTCATGTTAAATTGATTCTAAATTATATGATTACTGAGCAGACACAATACCCACAATTAGGCATCCTGTAGTCAAATATCTCGTTTATGCTTCTAACATCTGTTGTAGAAATATACCTAGACTATTTACCACAAATATATAAAATGTAATAAGCTTCTCTGTATACAGTAAAAATATTTTGTTACACATCACATCAACAGCCTTTAATAGTCCACTGCTGAACATAGGCCTCTCCTTAGAAATGAGGTTATTTTTTGTTACCATTATCACATTCAATGTCACAGAGATAAGATCTTTATTTACCCAAATATAATTGAATTTATAAAATAGAATGCAAGATAATGTAAAATGAAACAAACAAAGAAGAATTGTATTTGACTGTGAATTCATTTACAAATCATTTTCACTAATCTCTTTTATCATTTTACTACATTACACATGTACCTCTCTTTACCTTATCTTGACAATATCTTTTTAAATGTTGGAGAAGAGAATTTTATAAACTCTACATACCACAACCTCATTAGGACTAGAAATGAGGCATAGAGCAGGTTCAAGTAAGCATAGAGTTTCAAAACTTTTTTCAAAATCCTGCTTATTTGTTTCAGAAGATAATATTATATTTTCTTTTATTATTTATATAATTAAATTCATACTTATGTTTAACCATACTGATTCAAATGTAGTTCTGTAGGCAGATTGTATAATTGGATCCATTATGGTAAAATATTTACAGAGGTAGAATATGTACAGAGGCAGACTTAATGCCATAAAAATACCCTGGATAAGAGAGTGTTATGCAAGTATGAGAGTTTATTAAAATATGTGTAAAGTTATTATTATTTACTCTATTCTACTCCACTGTGTATATATATATATATATATATATATATGTAGATAAATATATATTATAGAAAAAAAAAAGGATATATCATATTTTGTCTGAAATCAGTCATTTTTTTGTGTACAATACAGTACAATACAATAGTGGAATACTATTAACCACACATAAAACGATAGAGAAATTTTATCCAGGCAAAAAACTTTGATGATACTTGCATTCATTGATATTTATATACCTAGTGTGATTGAAAATGCTAATCCAGTAGCTTTTTTTTGCATGCATTGAAAGTTATTGTTACAAAAGAAAGAATAAAAAAATTCAATGTCATCAACTTACAGATATTCTCAAAACAGTATTTAATATTTAATTGCTCAATTTGTTTCTTAACAAATTTAAAAAAATAGATCAGTAGATATGTGGAGTGCAATGATTTCATAATGATAGCAAATCTTTATTAATAAACAAAATAGTGGTATGATCCAATATTTAAATATTGGATCATCGGACCGGACCGATCAAAATTTATAGGGTTTTTCTGAGAGGAAAAATAGCCTAAATTACTCCTTATATACAGCTACCTGGTAGTAAAATATTATCAAAATCGGTCTAGCTATTTTGAAGATTACCCGGAACAGACGGGCAAAAATATATAAAATGGTCTTTAGGCATAGGTATCGTCCAAATAACCGTGTGAGCATGAAAAAACCTATTATTTTGACATTACAAACAGACACTTCAATTGTGTGTTGTGGTTTGGTCTAAGTGTTATTTATGTTACTGTACTTGAACTTATTTATTTACTCATTGATAAGAAACTCAACAGCTTGTTGACATTACACACATGATCATTGCGACACTTACACAGTATGCTTAAGCCAATTCACGACATTTTGTTGGCACTTTAACTAAGAAGTAGAAATAGCTAAAATAAAAATTCTTCATGAAAAGAAAAAAAAAACATACTTAAACAAAAATAAATTCTAAACCCAATACTTAATTACCTTTGAGTATATTCACGATAGGATTTCTTTGACAATATAAATATGTCTATACTTTTCAATCTCTCAGTGTACGTGCAAACTAGCCGGATCATAACAGCATTTCCACCATAATTGGTGCGATAGAAAGGTACGTTAAACAAATGCGTATGTTTATAGTCCATCAACGTCGTGCGCGACCGTCCTGCGGGGTGACAGACGGTGGCGGGGACGAGGTACTCAAGATGTCAGCGGGTAGCGGGTGGTGTAGCGGGGAAGGGAATCGTGTGTAGCCGTGTGCTAGAATGACGCGCTACCTCGCCCCCGCCACTGTCTGTCACCCCGCGGGACGGTCGCGCACGAGATTGCCGGGTTATAGTCCGTGATTGCCGCGTACTGAATTCGACAGCTGAAAGTAGCCCACCACGCAGAATAATCAAAAAGTAGCAGCATATCTGTCTGTCTGTAACGGAGTCGGAATCATGGCGCTTCTAACATTTAAAGTTAAGGAATCTTACGGAATAGATATATGATGATATAGAAGGGAGATGATATACCGGGTCTTAGAAAAGTACCGGAGCAGCACAAATATTTACTAGGGATGCATGTTTCGGAAATACGTTAAACATAGAAGTTGACTGCACGGATGGCGTAGTGGTTTAAGCGGTCGCCACGCCGCTTCCTACTACGCCGAGTGTTGTGGGTTCAAACCCCACATGGGACGACACTTTGTGTGATCCACAAATTGTTGTTCTGAGTCTGGGTGTCCTTTGTGTCCGTTTCATGTATGTTTGTAAAGTCCCCCGCGACACAGGATTTATTCCTAATGCGGGCGTTGTCTTTTTAAAAAAGAAAGAAAGAAAGAAAGTTACAGGAATTTTCTCTGGCTATCCATTGGTGACCTTCAAATTGACCTTGATCACAACCTTGAAGGTTATCTCATGGGTCAAGGAGAATTTTCAAATGAGATTGCATATTTTTGAGCCTGGAATTGAAAAAATGGATTGATGAGATAAATTAGAACATTTATTATGTACAACAATAAACAAAGCATTCTAATTTAACTTTTAAATTAAATGTAGAATTTGAACAAAACAATACATAAGCATTAATTGTTAATTCATTTTATAATATTATCATTAAATTTTTCCTTATCTTCAAGGCCTTCCAACCCGACAAATGGAAGAAAACAACTTAGAACAATAAGGCTACATCCTGACTTTTCTTCATTCAATATCTATACGAGTATATATACAAATAAATAAAACGGAAGTGTCTGTTTGTAATGCCAAAATAATAGGTTTTTTTCATGCTCATACATAGTTATTTGCACGATACCTATGCCAAAAAAAACAGTTTATTTTTTGTCTGTCTGTTGGTTTCGGGTTATCTTCAAAACGGCTGAACCGATTTTGATAATTGATATAATAAAATTTTGCCCGGTCCGGGAATCGAGCCCATAAAGGCAGCGCTTTTCAAATTCCACGCGAACGAAGTCTCGAGTACTACTAGTTTTTCATTTGGGAGAACTATGCTTTGTAACATAAATCCAGCCTCACTGAATAACGGTAACAACTTTTCACCAAGTCATTGAGATAACCGAAGACCTGATCCTCCCCCCTTATGAGAATAAGGGCCACTCCAACCCATGTGACGCACTTGTAACTCTAAGAGTTGCAGGTGTCTGTGGGCGGTGGAAGTCACTTATCATCAGACGACCTATCCGCTTGTTTGCCTCCTTTACCATAAAAAATAATTTGAAAATCGATCCACAATTGACGTCGATATCGCGTAACAAACATAAAAAAGAAAAGTACAGACGAATTGATAACCTCTTCTTTTGTGTTTTTGAAGTCGGTTAAATAGAAGTAGAATCTGATGTCTTTAAACCGATAAATCTATACTAATATTGTAAAGTTGAAGAGTTTGTTTGGTTGAACGCGCTAATCTCAGGAACCTGGTCTGATTTGGAAAATTCTTTCAGTGTTAGATATCCCATTTATCGAGGAAGGCTATAAAAAAAAAAAGGCTATATATGATCACGCTAAGACCAATAGGAGCGGAGCACCAATGAAGAATGTTTCAAAAACGGAGAAAATTTATTACTATTGAGAGACGCAGGCGAAGTTGCGCGGGTCAGCTAGTTAAACATAACGCCGTTTTTATCGTGTGTGTCATAACTACAATAATTTCTATACAGATTGAGATTTGTTTTGCATTACCTGTTTGTTAATTTCGTAATAACTTAATTTTTGCTATTGACAGCTCCGATGAATAAAATTTGTACTTACTATTACTATTTGTAACTAGCTGGTACCCGCGACTTCATTCGTGTGGAATTTGAAAAGCGCTGCCTTAGTGGGTTCGATGCCCGGACCGGGCAAAATTTTGTAGGGTTTTTCTGAGGAAAAATAGCCTAAGTTATTTGTGTAGAACAGCTACCTGGTAGTAAAATATTATCGAAATCGTTTCAGCCGTTTTAAAGATTATCCGGCACAAACAGACAGACAGCATGAAAAAACCTATAATTTTGACATTACAAACAGACTTCAATTTTATTTATTTGTATAGATTTGAATTGTAAATATAATAGATATTGGTTAAAGTAATATAATTTATAAATGTCACTAATATGTATTCTGTGAATAACAATGTGAGTGCACATTTGCTTAAATATAAATAACAAACAGTTACACAATATATAAAATACAGAGTTGCATAATCTCATACAATACAGAGTTTATGCAACTAATCAGAAATCAAACAAAAGCAAATATATTGTATGGTGTACAGTGGTATAGCCATCTTGACATGTGTGGGTAGCAGTTCGATTTCCTGACAGTATCATTGTTTGTTGTCAATTCCTCATTCTCAATGTAATCAAAATTTCAGGCTTCAACATCTTCAATTACTTATGTGAAGATTGTAAACACTGTGGATTATATGGTGGGTGCAGGCAATGCAGCGGGTCAAGTGACTGTTTTCCAAATACCTAAGGAACACCCTGAAAATGTTCCGGACGCTTTCAAACCAAAAGTGGAACGCAAAGTTGAGAGGTAATAATAATAATATATATCACACATCTCACACACTGCCGTCTGATCCCAAACTAGGCAGAGCCTGTACTATGGTAACCAGACGGCCGATAAATATACTTATATATTTTTAAATACATACACACTCGTATTATAGATAAATTACACCCAGACACAGAACAAATGACAGTGCTCATCACACAATATTTGTCCTGGGTGGGAATCGAACCCGCGACCTCCGGTTTAGCAGTCAGGGTCACTTAACTACTAGACCAACAGGCCCGTCAAGAGGTAGAGTAGGTAGAGGTAAAATGATTATACACAGCTTAAAATATTTTTTATCTTCTTAATGCCTACCTGTATTCCGTTAGGGAACTTCTGTCTAGTGTAGTACTTCTTTGAACTCATTTGGATGTAATTTTTTTTGTTAAAAACTGCGGGCCTAGTGTGAGTTGACTGAGACTAGTGGTTTGAGCGGTCATCTTCCTACTGCGCTGAGTGTTGTGCGTTCGATCCTCACATGGGACAGCACATTGTGCGATCCTCAAATTGTTCCGAGACTAGGTGTTCTTTGTGTCCGTCTAATGTATGTTTGTAAAGCTCCCGCGACACGGGATATATTCTTAGTGCAGGAGTTGTCATTTTAAAGAAACAGAGATTGTTTATTTCTCGATGGCGACCGCGTTCCGCGTTGCGATTGGTGTAGGGACGATCGAGTTGATGTGTGTGAGAACTAACACTAGGCCCTCTGATTTTATTTTATTGTTGATTACATTATTACATGTAACTCAGTTCAGCCGCATTAAAGAGTTTTGTTCTAATAACTTGGAAATCCATTTTGCTAGTTCCAATAAAACGGAGCTGAAAATTCCTCGTTTTTGAATCTTTAAAAACTAGTCATTAGTGAACTGTTCGTGTTTTTATTAGACTGTTTATTTATTATTAGACACCTTTTTTCCATAATTATACATAGACAAGAGCGTAGGTACTACCAGCAGTATTGGTCAATCCTTGTTGTTGAACATAAAAATCAAGCATAGCTGTGTCCAATCATTTTTCTTTGGCAATTGAACGCAGTTAGAGAATAGTTATTATTTATACTCGCTCAATAAGTATATACGGCTATACGACAAGACAAGTATTCCTGTAGTTGCTCAGAATGTTAAGGTCCATTTTACAACACAACCAAATTATATTCAATAGGAGGGCTGTTTTGTATGGTAAAAATAAAATTATTAATAGCGTCTAAAGACCTCAAGATCCGTTACTGGTGTCTTTTTTTTTATATTTTAATTATATTCTATTACCTACTAATAATACATTTTAATAATGTGGGTATTCTTTTTTAAGCAAGTTTCTTCAAAACATACATCTTGATGCTTATAGAAAACAAAAGAAATGCCACAATGACTAAAGCGATTGCTTTACAACTACGTCGCACCGAGTGTTACGTAGGGGTTTGAGTACCACGCGGGGAAAATTTGTGTTAATAATAATAATATCCTATGTCAGAGTGTCTTTGTGATCGTCGTTTAATTTTTTAAAATACCCAGCGACATTCGAATTTGTCTTGAACGCGATTGTAATCTTGTAAAAACAAGTATCTAAGGGTAATCATCGCTGTGTCTCTGGTAATTGACAGTATTTGTGATAAAAAGTGTTTAAATGTATAGAGTTACGAAATTATGTTATATTTTGTTCTCTCGATGACCTTTATCAATTGTGGTTCGCAATTTTAGGTACACAATAGGGGATTTACACAAAAGCAAAATAACAGCCATAGAGTGGTCCAAGAATGGCATGCGACTGTTTTCTGGTGACAAAAACGGTGTCATTATCATGACTGAAATCGACTTTTATATGGTAAGTGAATGCTAACAATGATTTTTAAATTCAATATTCTTGATATCTTTGTGTAGAGGATTGATTAATTAGATTTGGGGTTCTCAACGATTTTCTAACAAAAAACTTATTAACGAAAAGACTGACGTTTGTGTAAACCAAAATAAGGTTTTATGCTGACAATTTATGGTTAGTGCATGATTCCTTGAAGATACACCATGAAACTTGGCAGGAATTCTGTTTTTTACAGAAGAGATTAAGAGCGCGTTCACACAACGTGGTCTCAACATCGTTAATAAAATACTTCTTTTTGTTTTTTTTTTTTAATTATCAAGTATTAATATATGTCAAGAGCGTCGTAAGTTGTAAACATCCGACATTACTTACTTAATGATATCGTGTTTTCTATCAACTAATAATTTTTTTGCTAGATATTACCGTAGCCTCATAAACATTACAGGTTCTCATATCGCATAAGTGACTTGAAACTTTAATCCTTTCTGCTATCTTCATTCATTATTTGCCTTAATATTTTGCCACTATTTTTGCTTCGCACTACCAACCCGTGGAACAAGTTATCGGCTGCAGTATTTCCGGACCGATACGACCTCAAACCTTAAAGAAAAAGCGTGCTTCTTCCTCAAAGGCGCGCTTGTGACTCCTACAGCAGGCGTTCATGGGCGGCGGTAGTCGCTTTCCATCAGGTGACCCGTCTGCTCGTTTGCCCCCTATTCCATAAAAATAAAAAAAACAGTAGCACTCCGGGAGTGCCGACAGAAGTGAAATCTTTCTTTTTTTTCAAATTTTTTTCAAAAATTCCCTTACGCCCGCCCCCCCCCACCCCTGATTCTTACGGGTGACTACTCAAAGGGTCATTGACCACGGTAGTCCCTTACTAGCATTAATTGCATCATTAGTCATATGTAGACATATTTCTTGCCTATCGCAATTTGTGATGATTCAAAACAAATAAATAGTTAGTCTACGGTTATAGGTATTAATTCTGAGAATTACAAGAAGAGTTCTTCAATAATACATGACAAAACGTGAACGTTTATCAGTAATTACATATAAATTAAATGTAACGGGAAAAAATGATAACAAATGCGGTCAACGCACTGCTCTGAGGCTAAGGTTAAGTACCCCTTTTGTTGTTGTGTGTATTTTTATCGCGTTAATGTTATATTTTTGAAACAATACTTAACTTTTTTTGTTGTGAATAGTTTTGTAGCTTATCTACAGAAACTTCCTAAAACAGTTCCGAGATTATGCGTAATACTTAAATACATAATCTATACTAATATTATAAAGCTGAAGAGTTTGTTTGTTTGTTTGTTTGTTTGTTTGTTTGAACGCGCTAATCTCAGGAACTACTGGTCCGATTTAAAAAATTCTTTCAGTGTTAGATAGCCCATTTATCGAGGAAGGCTATAGGCTATATATCATCACGCTAACACCAATAGGAGCGGAGCACCAATGAAGAATGTTTCAAAAACGGAGAAAATTTATTACTATTGAGAGACGCAGACGAAGTTGCGCGGGTCAGCTAGTATATTATATGTACCTATTTACGACGCCCTTGAAACAGCATTGAAAACATTTAACTTGCATAAATCTTCTGTAATTCTGGAAGCACTAAGGTTTCCTTAACTAGGTAGCCTAAACCGTGTCGAAATAGAGTCTGCTACTAATGCCAGTTACGATATGGAACCATAACTGCTATCCTGGCCTTAGTAGATGTTTACATTGTTACAGCACCTGTGCAAGTCCATGGAGATAGTAAATGAGGAGCATGAGATAGTCCAGATGAGTTACTACCAGAACTGTCTGCTAGTGTCCTCGTTGTACCGCAGTATTATATGCGAGCGTCGTGACGCGCGCTGGCACGTCAGCCAGCTCGGCAAGAAGGAACGGAAAAGGTACCACATAACCTTCAAACTAATATTATTAATGCGAATGTATGTTTATTTATTTGTTACGTACGCTTTAAAAATTTGTTCCATTAGGTGAAAATTTAGTTATGGGTGAAGAAAAGGATAGAAAGAACCATATATGGGGAAATACTGAGGTTGAAAAGCAACCTTTTCAAATGTATTTGTAAAGAAACTAGCTCAGTGCATAAGCGTAAGGTTTACTCAGATCGAGCGGCAAAATCCTTGAGCACTTTTAACATGATCATTTAGTTGAAATATTAATATGGTCTTGCAAGTAGTATAAACCAGACCAGCAGTAAATGCAAGCGGCGAAAAGTGCTTGAGCAGTTTCAAGTTTCAAGCTCAATCCCGAGTTGACCCTAAATAGTTGCCGATACTAAGTAACATTTGAAAGACAATTACGTAAATCTTATACAACATAGAAATTATCTGACTTGACTTACAAGCTGAAACTGGTTTAGGTACATTGATTTCTAGGGTATACCTGGTTCCCCGTCTATTAGTACCCGAGACGGCGTGCGGTTTTAGTCGGTTCGAGTCCGACATGCCACCGATAGGTGGTATCCGGAAAAAAAAAGGTACATTGAGCTAGTTCTACATAGGATTACAAGTAGTCCGAAGCTTCATTGATGATGGTGTATATTTGGTGTAACAAATTACAAAGCTGTCGTAACTTTGGAACGTTCAAAATAAATCGTTTCTCGTTTATAATATCAACGGCAGAGATTTCTTTTTGCTTATTGGGAAATGATAGAAATTATAGTACGTTGCTGATTTCTGCTGTCAGTACAGTCTTATTAATATTGTGTATGCCTAATTAAAAAAGATCTATCTAATTCTGCACTTGTGCTCTTGTATTCTGCAATTCTGCTCTTGTATATCATTAGCATCGCTTAGGTACCTAGTGGTGTCTGCAAGCGATTAATAGACTGTGAGTTAGCGTACAGTAGCTTCAATGACGAGATGGAAGCATGTTATCCTTTGAATCTGTTCGCTATGGTAGTTTGTCTAGATATACTAATATTTAAAAAAAAAATAGCCGTTTATTAAGACTCTTTTGTTTCAAATAATAAAAAAGTTGTAGATTATGAAACATCTCTATCATCATTTGCAATCACAATTTTATTTTGGGGTTTTCGCAATGTGTCACATGTCAAGGGGTTTGGGTTGGTTTCTATTATGGGCGGCCGCCTGCCTGCCAATAGGGGCCAACCCTCCATGGGAATGTAATCGCTTTTAGACGGGACAAAATGAAAAGGTGAATCGGAGTTAAAGAAAACAAATAGGTCGAGGGAGCTAGGGAAATAATAACTGCAAGCGTCGCATAGAAACCGGTACTGAGACTGCAGTGAATCGAAGAGGCCGGGGTCGCGTATCCATATGTCCGTCCTGTGACTAGAAAAGCCACTCAGCTGCCGACCTTTTTTCCCAAACTAGGTTGAAGTCGGGTTCAGTCTACTACGGACACGGCTGAAATTCGATTAGCGCGACTGCCATTAGACCTTCACAACCCAAGTACTAGGCGATATCGGAGTTATGTAGATAGACTGTTGTTGGCCTTTTTAGGGCTCCAACTGTCCGTAACGATTGCCACAGACCTATGGCAACTGTGACGGTGGGGTCTCAATGTGTTTAGAAAGGACACCCATCCATAGACTGACCTGGCTAGGATTGCTTACCTTTGCAATGTGCTAACCTATTCGGTTACCACTTAGCCACGAGCCTATTTTTAGAGGAGAAGCCATTAGGACACGTAAATCCTTTTGCCACAACATCACTTTATGATTCTTGAAATCATAGCTAGAAACTTTATTGAAATCTAGTTTGCTCGTATTGGAATAGAAATAAAACGGTTACATTCCGCTTATTGTGTAAGTCTCAAGGCTAAATATATATTTTGTTAGTGTGTTACTTTAGAAAACTTGTGCTACCGCAAACAGCTGAACTGTGTACTATTAAAGTTAATTGATGTTTTTACATCATTCATTGAATGAAGAATGAGAAGTCATTATTATTACAAAAAGGATTATGTTGTTCAAAAATTATGAAATCCACACACTGGCTAAATTGAAGTAGTAATTCTAAACTATAATTATGACCTGTATTTATACTCGTTTATGCGTGTGACGGATTAAGAATGCGGAGTGTCACCACACCTATTTATCCCGTCGCTGTCGTAAGAGCCGACTAATGGGCCAAGCTACGCAGCACAACAGTGCAGTGATGTTGTGCTGCGTAGCTTAAGCGAAAAGAAAAACACACCCTGAAACAAATCCTATACCAACTCGTCTGGCCTGCGCGGCCTATGTCCAGCAGTGTACTATAAAAGGTTGTTGATGATAATCGTTCTAGAAAACATATTTTTATTATAATTCAAAGTTAATAACCAATTGAATTATTTAAAAATTCAGTCATGTAAATTTTAAACAGACATACTTACTTTGACTGACCTGTTGGTCCTGACTGCTACGCCAGGGGTCGTGGGTTTGATTCCCACTCAGAACAAGTAATTGTGTGATGAGGACGGTCATTTGTTCTGTGTCTGGGTGTACTTTATCTATATGTATTTAGAACCATAGTACAGGCTCTGCCTAGTTTGGGATCAGACGGCCGTGTGTGAAATGTGTGGAAATATTATTATTATTAGGTAAAATGTGTAAATGTTCCCACAGCCTGTGTGCCCTGGGTGCTGTGTTCCAGTACTCGTACGCGCGCGGCGGGCCGCCCGCCGCCTACTGTGCGCGGCCCGGCCTGAGGCTGTGGCGTGCTGACACGCAAGGGAACGTGCTACAAACATTGCTATTTAAGGTAAATGTTTAACCTTCATCTAGTTGGAGCATAAATTCCCGTGTAGCGTTAGGCCGTTTCTATTAAATATGCCTCCCCAATCAAGTCAACGTCAAACCCAACTAAGGTTCGGACTTAGTGGGTTTCCACTCCCTTAAAAAAGGTACTTTATTAACGTTGCAAATTGTGCGGTATAGATATTAAGTACAAAAACATGATTGCACTATATTTTGTGTAGTCTTTTTTATATAAATGAGTTTTTAGTATATACACGTCATAATGAATACTGAAACAGGGTATTCAGAACATCATTCTGAGTCTAAAATCATTTGCAGCTGGAAAATTCAGCATTTTTTTTATAATTTTTCATTTCTTGGTTAAAAATGATATCACAATGAGTAAACAGACCATTTTGCAGATTTTTATTTTTAATAAATGCCATATACGGTCAAAAACTGCAATGTAATTAATAAAACAGCCGAAGCGCGCGGGTCTTCCCCCGGCCGCCAACTTGTGTTAGTGTGCGTAGACTGTTTACACAGCATACAAAAATGTAGTTAATAATTTTGTGCGATATATACGGGGAATAACATTTAATTTGCCGCAGAAAATTCTAACTATTTAGTAGATGGTTACAGCCGATCAAGTACGTAGCATAGTGTAGTTCAAGTTCTAAATTTATTATTATATATTTTTTGTTTTGTGTACAGGAGGCGATATCCAACCCTTTGACGATAGCTGAACTCTTAAACCCCTCGCAACAAAAGCATTCTCAGACGCAGCGGGAATACAACCTGGGACCACTGTATGTGTTTCGCGAGCACTTCCTTGTATCTCACAACGAAAACGTTCTGTATATCCTGGACCCGCGGTCACTTACCGCTGTAGCTGTAGTCGACGAACTTAGAAGGTAACTTTCTAATACATTTATAAGAGTTATTAAGGAAATCCAGTTATAATCCCGTCATGTATTCCTGGTAACTGCTTATTTGTACTAAACTAAGAGGCAATCATAAAATAGTTGGTATACTTATTTTGGGTTAAAGGCTCGAAGGACCATGTATAGTTTATATATTTAGTATAGCATACATCTATAATTTAAATTTTATTTAAATATAACTCAAATATTATTAACAACAATGCAGTTATAGTACAAATGTCATTTCACAATAAACCACATTTAAATAACAAAGATCAAACAGATACAATAATGCAAGATGGTTGTGACCACAATTTGGGTGTGCTAATTTCTGTTAATAAACTTACTACTAAAGAACTAATTAAAAAAAATTTTGAGCATATGTCTGCCTATCCAATGGACATTAATTGATTGCGCAGTGTTTGTTAAGTCAATATTTCTTATCTAAGTACAACGACGTCATCAATATTTTCCAGGATCTTATCAGTATCGGTGAACAAGGATGAGATCTTCGTACTAGAAGGTCCGCGGTCGCTAGTGCGGCTTGCGCATGCGCCGGAGCCGGCCGCCCTCGCCACAGGTCTGTTCGCCAAACCTAACACTCCTTAGCACTATGTCCTCGGTACTCCACTATCAACACCTTTATAACTACCAGTAGCGGTTTGATACTTGATAACAGAAAGACAATAACCGTAATTGTAATTTTATGAAATTGCAGAGGCTATAAAGTCGTTTATCCAATGTAAAGTTCTGTTTAGACGTTCATGATATGAATGCACAAAGGTTCTAAAAAACACATCAACAGTATTAATACGTTGTCATAACGGAAGCAATAATAACTAAGCTATATTAATTAAAATCAGTATTGCCCGGAACTAATATCAACAATAAAAACGAAAACTAAGTAAAAAATTAAATAACGTTTAATATTTTGAATTTTGTTATTAGTTAAATAACGTAACCTAATTACTTAAATAACGGGACTTGACTTTCTGTTCTCAAAGTTCTACAGTACCTCCCTAGCTAAAGTTATACCTTATAGCATTTTAACATACAAATGCTTTGTAACTGTATAGTGTTGTAATACATTACTGCATCTTGGCTAGAAGATTATTATTTATATTGTACCAACGTGATGTTATATACTAGTACTTAAAAGTACAATTTCCGCCTCTGAAATTATATGTACTTAATGTTACATCGTTGCATACGGAACGATGATATAATTAGTGTGTACCCACCCAAATTATATCAAAAACTAATTTGTGTATAATTTGAATGTATCCTAACATTTGATTAATTATCACAATTGATGATGATTCTTAATTCAAAAAGTTATTAAAGAGAAACAGTAGGATACACTCAGATTATTCTACTAAATTTATTGACATAATTTGTGTTTATCTGATGACTTTTGGAATCAAAAATTCTCCATGAGTTTTACGTTAAGGCAATTATTATGCATGTGAGTTTTGTAATAAGATCAAACTGCTGAGTATGTGCATGCACATGCATGATTCCATGATGATTCTTTATATAAATTAAGTTCACTAAGCATTTAATGGAGAAATTAACATTTAAATTAAAACAATTTAATTTCTGTAGAAATCTTTGACAGTTTAAAAAACAATGTTGGTTGTGTCTGACTATATTTTAGTTTAGTATAAACAAGTCCTAGAAGGTCCAATAGCGATTCATAATATATAAAAATCTTACCAATTTATTTTACCATTTTAAATTAACTAAGAAACATTAAAGTATTAACATCTTATTAATTGTTTGGACAGTACCTTTGGAAATTCTTGTTCCAGTATTGTTTTTTCTATTTTGTTACTATGTAGACTACCGTGGTTTTAAATTTATTGTGTACTGACCTTCAATCTGTAAAATTTGTGAAAATATATTATGTATTATTATATACATATACGAGTACATAGAAGTATTAGACACACATTCAAATGGTTGTCTATTTAAAAACAACTCTATAGTATTATCTATAAAGACGACTTTTGATCTTGCATTTATATCTAATAGTATTTTTAGTAATATTTGACAAACGATGCAAAAATTAACATTCCTTGTTTATATTGAAATTTAATTATTATTTTTGACTGACCTAAATATTTCTTAAATTTTACACGGTGTATTTTTCAACTACATTCTCTTACTAAATAAGCAGGATAAGAAGTGCTGTAGCGGTATGTATCCACGTATTAAGATTTTATATTTTTTTTAATGTCTAACTAGATAGTCGCTATAATTGAAGTGAAACAATTATTGTTTGACTTCAATTATAGAATCATTAGTTTATGTGTATTCCGTTTCTGTTGATTGGGAAGTAGTAGTCCTAGTAATAGCAACAGGGCTTAGTGTGAGTTTATTTCACATCTAATCGATGGTCACATTGAAGTATTCACCAATCGCAAAGCCGAACGCCCTCGCCGTAGAGAGCGAGTTTATATGAAATAAAGCCATACTAGGTTTTTGGATCCCGTATTACGCCTAACCACCTTCAGTGGTCCTCATATACATTGTGAGGTTAAGAAACAGTCCAATTTTAAAGTATTAAAAGTGTAAGAATTTCCGTCTTCTTATTATTAGAAGCATGTATTATTATATAATCAACGTCGGTGACGAATTTCGAAAGCTCCTAATAATATCATGTCTTTTTAAATACTTTTATACTGAGGCGTATTAAAATATACCTAGGTTTAGATTAGATTGTTAGATAAATTCACAATCAGTACTGCAGAATAATAATAAAAGTTAAGGTCTAAAAAACAAATAGTATAAAAAATATAATGTAATGTTGTAGATTTGTTTAGACACAATAATTAATCATTCAGCTTTCAGTGCCATTTGGTATATATTCTATCATTTTGCCAAAAAGAATTAGAGCTCTATAGCCATTTCATTAGGCTAAAATTTGTTTATATGACCTGGCACAACCTGTGACCTTCCCGTCCTGTAACTCATGTAGTTGTCCTATGATAGCAGATGATGATGACCTTTTGGTTGTGTTTACCAAGAAAGTATAGCTATTCTGTACCTTATTCGAAAATTTACATTTATTTTGGTTGTTATTTTTTTGTTGGTAAAAATATTTATTGATAAGTATTAAAATGCTTTAACCACTAGATTCTGATGATGTGACTTACCTAACGGACTATTTCTGCTGAAAGATTTCATTTGCAAGAAATCCGAATATAAAATTGACATAATATTCATAGAACTTTAACTCGTGACAGTTTATCTTACATATTAATAAAATCAAATTCAAATAATAGATTTGAAGGCTCTCCGCTTAGTCAAAGACCCTCTCACCTGTATGCTCAGCCTTATCAAAGAAAATTATAACTTGATATTTTTAAACACTATTCTTTTTTTTTTATTTTTAACGTTTTAAAAACCTTACTCTTACTAACTAGAGATGTGTACTACTACTATGTACTACACTACTGAGTATAGACTATTAAATGTCTTTATGTGATTTTTCAAGGAAACACTCCAAATACTAATCGACTAAATATAATTACGAGCGATTTTATGAATAATAACAATAATAAATAAGGCTGATAAAAAGCAATTTTTCTTTTAAATATTTAATTTTTTTTATAAATACAACAATAAAATAGTTACACATCAACTATTTTTTTGTCTGTATTATTAAAAAATCATTCGGTTTGTGTAAAGCTAGTTAAATATTTTTAGTTTGTTAGGGAAATAGCGTTATATTAACCAAACGATTTTTATTCAGAGATTATAATAATATAAGTTAGTTACTATTTAGTCAGTATGTCCGAAGTGCCTTCTAAATACCAAAATGTAACCAACCTTTACAATATATTTTCTATGTATATTTGTTTAAGACAAAAATAGTATAGTTCTAAGTAGAGGATAAACTAAATGTGGGATAACTTTCATTATTAGACTGAAAAAGAAGAAAAGGCTAATTGATTAACATTTAAGTTCTTTTTCGATAGTCCTAGTAAGATTGTTTGTATATTTGTAGGTATAATTTATCCGATTGCGCCAGAGGGATATGTATATTTATTTGGCACGCTCTGGAGCCTAAACGGCTTGATTGATTTTGGTTTGAAAACTACAAATATTAAAATTATAGTATACAATTTGGACGCAGTCGTTTGTATGTTTAATAACTTGTTTGAATTTGTAAACATCTAGGTTAGATTTAGATAGAAACAGAACATTTCAACAGCTATAAATAAGGTAAATTGATTTCTAATGTTCAAGATGCAAGTTCTTTTCAATGGAACAAACTTGATACCTCACACACATTTCGGTCTGATCCCAAACTAGGCACAGATTATATATTTACATATATATTTCTAAACACATACATATCAAGATGAATAACAACCAGATACAGAACAATTAAATGTGCTCATAATATAATTATAGGTCTTCGTCGGGAATCGATCCCACGACTAACACAATAACACAACTCTTCAGTCAGGATCAGTAGACCAATGGATCTTTATATTTTACTTTTTGTCAACATATATCTTTTTTTATGTAGCATTATCTAATATCTAATTAAGATATATGTTGGTGCAATTTTAATGGTCTGATTATTTGGTTGTATAATACTGTATTTTTATTGTATTTGATCTTCATGGTTTTGTATTTTGAATTTGTTTATATATTAAGTCAATTATTTGGTTTTTTATTTGTAAAAACCGAATTTAATATAGCTACGTCCAATGACATATTTTTTTATATGAATGTAAATATTTTGATGGATACAATGAAGAACAAAATGTATGTATTTACCAACATAATAAATATAACTCCAAAAACACATGTCAAATAGTTATTTTTTTAATTTGTAAATTTGATAAAAGCTCTTCATTATAGGTGTTCTTCATTGTCCTAACCGATAGTTAGTAGTAACCTAACTGATAGTTTACAAAACATCCGCTTCATGTTTTATAGATGAAAAATGTTAAGTAAATAATTTATACTAAAAACTAATGTTGAAGGTGGTTACTCAATACTATGCGGCACATAATAAATTACTAATCTTTACTTAATATTTGAAAATTGTGTACAATGCTTAAATTTTTTTTACTTTGTAATTGTTGACATATTATTTGGATGAGGTTTCTAACAAATTGTTTATGGTGCTATTTTCTACTTTAAGGTTTAAACAGTTGTACGGAGAAAGACACGAATTATTAAATTTTAAAGTTAAGAATTTATAGACGAAGCTTTGCTGAATATTCTATGAAAGCAGTATTACCAGTTTGATTGAGAGCGAATTATTCATGAACTGTAGTGTCAACTACGATTCAACAAGGTTTCCTCTATGTATAGTCACATGGTGCTAAACCAGGATGTGCCAATAGATATAACTTGTCTTCGCAACCGTTTAATTATTATGAACAGAATAAAATGTAGATTAGGTATTTTGCTTTAAAGCTTTTGTATGTATATGGTGTAAGGTTAGCGCTTTTAAACAGTGTATGTCAGAGTTTCTCAACCTTTTATCATTAGACCCCTTGAGGGGTCAGGGCACAGTCTAATAGATCTCTTTGGGGTCTCTCAGATTTTATAATGGTCCTAGTAGTCTGCTTTTACAAAAAGTTTAAGAAACTAACAGGCGTAGTGTACACGAACTATTAACCTAAATTGTATAAAATTAGTTACCCTATGTAGTGAGATACCCTGATGTAAGACAACGATATTTTTTTATGTACATAATCTGCAAAAAAGATATGTGGGTAATTGAGAAACTAATGTTGGTTTTATGACGTACATTTTCAGCTGGCCTGTCGAAATTTACTGAGCGTGTAACCTTTAGTTACCTTTTTCCTTTTGTTCTGTTTACACTTGCTTGCCAAAAATATGAACTTTAATGCAATAGAATCGAACGATCGTAATTCTCGTTTACTAATAAGAAACTATACAACGTTCATTATAAATGTATTTAAATTTGTATAAACTGTTATTAGTTAACTAAGTTTAGTTAGTAGTTAAGTAAAAGATGTCTTTAATGTAAAATATACTTAAATATGGTGTAATTAGATTGATTTTGCTATTTGTGTAGATAAGAAATTTACAAATGCTTTCATTTATAATTTATTAAGCAAACTACAGAGCACCTAAAATATTGTTTGTCTAGCATCAGTTTTTTTTATTTATATTTTGTGTAAACAGATATAAAGCTTGGTTTCTGTTTAGTTATTTTTGCACATTTTTTGCAAGCAAGTCGTACTGTTTCTATGTGAGCATGGCCATTGTACTTATATGTAAATATACATTTGCACACACGTATATGCATTTTTATTTAATAACCACCTTGCTTTATTTGTATATTTATGTATACGAGCAATGGCTCTGCTTGTCGCTTGTTGCAAATATCATTCATTTTGAAATTTACATTCATCGCTAATAGCATGCTATAAGTAACGCATTCTGTAAATAATTCCTGTACAAGCTTTGACAGAAAAAAAAGTGTGTGTGTCAGCTCCGACGCATAACTCAAGTTTACTCCTTAACAACGATTCGGCTGCACACAAGTATACAAGCTATACACACACATGTGAAAGGTGCGCACGATAGGTTGCGCACAAAAAACTTAACCAGGTCATGCGATCACTAAATTTTACTCTTCATATTTTTTTCGTACCGGGTGCCTTATATGAAAATCGATTATTAGAAGTAAACTCCAAAAAAACGAATTACGTAGTTAAGGCTTGACACCAATAACTTAAAACTTTATAAGTAGACAAATGGTTTATATATTTTATTTTCATTTATTTACGTTATTTATTTATTAACTAAGAAACAATAATATACACTTAAGCTATTTATTCTTGTGCAATTGTCAAATATAATATAATTAGGTCCACTATTCGTTCACTGCTAGAACGGCGAGTAAGAAAATATGAGCAGCACTGAAACTACAGAAGATTCTACCTCTTATACTCGTACTCGTGCAGATCAGCTGATAGAAAAATTTATTGTGATATAAGTATGTACATTGAAACACAGAATTTTAATCATTCTGGAGTCTAATCTATAGTGTATGCTTAACACGTCAACATAATATAGGCAGTTACAAACATAGTAGGTTTTTAAACTTTAATTACTTTACCTAATCTATAATTTTTGTGTTGGACGATGCAAAATCAACTGATTTATCACTATGTTATGTGACAGTAAGTTTTAATCTTAAATAGTAGATCAATTTTTAAGAAATCCTTTTCTCTAACAATATGTTCAATCTTTAACAGAGGAACCGCTGAACGTAATGACGAAATCTTTGACTACCTCCCTCCAACAAGCCGTGAACACTGTACGAGACTTCACCCTCATCGATCAAACTGTACCGTACATCACTAGCGTGCTCGAACAACCTATATCGATGTTCACTAAGAACGAAGTTATCGAAACGGGAACGATTGCTAGCGCTGAAGAGTGCTTCGAACTACCGCCCATCAAGCATTTACCACTTGATATCTCGAATAACGTTTTAGAATCGATTATAAACGAGTTCCGTGACGTATCGAGTGACGCTGAAGAAATAAGGCGAGTAAAAACCGAAGAGCTTCAGAGAAAACTGAAGCTTTACAACAGTATAATGGAAAAGAAATATGATGATGAATTGATTCATAGCAGCCGGAGAAGCAGGAGTAGCAGAAGAGATGGCAGTTCAGGTAGCAGTACACCGAGGTTGTCAACTCCTGTGAGAAAACCTGTAGACAACGTCAGCTACACCAGCCCCTGCGTAATGAATATGAGCGTATACAGGTAAGTAATTCTTTGTAATAAGAGTACTACATTAAGTAGATTCAAGCCACGCGCAATCTGACCACAGGGATGATGTGTTATGTTGCGGCGTCGACTTCAGCGTTAGCAATACTTATTCACATCGTTACGTCTAACGATAGATATTACAAGAGAAATAAATTATGTTTCTTAGTCGAATTTCTGTTGTACTAGTATTATCATAGATATTTCCTGTAGTAGATTGGTGAAGTTGTCATCAGCACGGTCAAATACTTTGAATATTCTCTATGAAAGAGAGTTTTTTTAATTTAGAATTACAACGGGTTATGTACTGTATGTTATATTAGTATCCTATTTATATGAGTCCTGCTTGCGTCCTCATACTAATGTATAATTGATGTGCCCTTGTTGTTTATATATATATTTATTTAACACATTTGCAGTGCCGTAGACCAAGCTAATGATGAGCTTCTCGAGAAGCAAATAGAAGAAAAGGAGAAAATTTTATCCAAGATGTTAAACCTGGAATATCTGAGCATCGACAGAACGAAGCTTGAAACCGAAACACCCCCTGAACCTACACCACCGCCACAACTGACCACTTCATTCAAACAAATTGATGTACAACCAGAGGCTGAGGTAATAAACCATGCTCCGAAAGTCATAAATATTCCTAAAAAGAACCCAAACCCTATAGACTTAGTTCCCAAAGTCGTCCAACTACCTAATAATTGGAATTTAGAGAATATTGAACTGAAATTAGACACAAAACAAAACGGTTTTAAGGATAGGTCTTTGATTTCTCCCGACGACCATTTAGACAGTGAATGGGAGATAATCTGATATAAGGCAACTAGATCTAAAATATGATTTTCCTTTTCTTGCGCTTTAAATATATCACTGTATTTTGAATTTTGCTCCCAATTACTCAAGGGCGCTAATAGATTGACATATACTCATAGATACTGTTTTGACTCCATTAGTTAGCAGGGCCGATTTGGTTATTTACGAAGGGCGTGTTATTACCTAGTAAACTTTGTTTTATTTACTATCGTTTAATATCTGTGGGTTATTAAACATTCAGTCAATGATCGTCCACCATTGCGTAGTCCTCTTAAAAAAAAATTCGTCAACCCTCCTATATTGACAAGTCTTCGCTCCGAGATCCGAAGCTAAGGAGAATTCAGTGTTGAAGAGTAATTTTAAAATCGAATACGCTTTCAAATCAATTATTCTCTCTACCTATCCATCTACAATTTAATGAACCATACGAAATTAACAATGAATCTAAAACCAAACCAAGTATCGTACGAAATTATTTCACTATTCCAAACCATATCGATTTCGACCCAGCCGCATCGAATCGACCGACCGATTCATTGGGGTCAAATTTGGGGTCATCGAGACCTTTACAGTTAGAAGTATACTGTTTTTCTAGTTTTACATTCAATAAAATAGCGTACTCCCGCCTATAATAATAATAAAAAGGCTCTCCCACAAAGGTTCCTTAAAATTAAAACTTATAAGAGTGACCTAAAAGGTATCAATATCGCAACCCAACTCAGGTTGCATGTCCAAGTCTCCATGTCCATGGCTGGCGGTAGTGACTTACCATCATGTGACCTCTCTGTCGTTTGCCTTCTATATAATAAGAAACAACCATCGTCAAGTCTTTGAAAGGTGTATTTTTACTATTAGTGTAGATTTGTACTTAAATGATGATCCACTTTATATGTGCACATGAAATACACATTTAACAATTATTAATTATAATCGCGTATTTTGATATTAGTACAAAATATATAGAATCAATAATGTGAATGTGTTAACGCTGCATAATTGAATAAACGACAAGGTGAAAAGTTCATTTTGACAACATTCAATTATTTGAATGAAGATAATAATAATAAAGAACATCATGAGCAATATTCTGATAAGGTAATTTATTTAAAGTGAAATAATTTCAAGACTCAAGTATATTAAAGGTAAATATAAAGCTATGGAACCTTTATTGTTCCCATAGAGATATAAGACGGGGTACAGCTGCCCGTAAGTGGAAGCGTTACAGGCAACGAGAGAGATGGATGCCCGATAGTTCCCTCTGTCTCTGTTTAGCTAAGCTGCGATTGCCTATCGTGAAGTGGTCATGGTTTTGATCGAAGAACAGGCGGGCGATTAATGAATCCCCAGCCAATCACCTTTTTGGACTCTTCTTTTCGCTCTTGGACATTCTATGATTATATCTCTGTGGTTGGACCAGTCAGATAAGTTTTTTTTTACATTTATTGGTCCGTCTTGATTTTGCATGGGCAGGATACCATAGGGTGAAGATTAACGCGTATAATCCTGCGAGGCGAGATTCCAAATGTAGGAGAATTATTATCGGACTGCGACCATACAATTGACATTATGTTTTAATGACATGTACTTAAACTGATGAACTTTCATTGCGCGATGCAGAATCAGTAGTTACTATATTCGTCTGGTCTTTACTAGATGGCGCTGAAGTATGTTTTACTAGATATGAATTTCGCCTCAATGCAGTAGTAAGCACGTTGGAGATACATTCCCGTTAATCACCTTGCATTTAGTTTTGTGAGCTGCTTTGGTTATATCTTTGAAATCTTATTATTAATGATTAAGCAAGCGCTGCCATGTGTATAATTATTGCAGCCTGATAGGTTAAGTATACTAACTGATGTCAACATTGAAGTGCTTGAAATGTAGGTATAAGACTATATTATTAAGATTTGTTTTAGGTTTCGAAAACTAAAAATGTTTTTTTTTTACCTTAAATAACTTGTTGTTTATTATTTTTAAAACACGAATACTTTACTAGACTTTAACAGTCTGTATGATAGGTCTGAACAATTATGTAAAAAACTATTCCTTAAGGTTTGTTATTTTTTTGCATACCTACTAAAATATTAACAAATGTCATCGCCACCCTTAAAATGAACTCATAAAGAAAGAGAGAAAATGTATTTATTTTGTTCTCCTGTAACCCACAAACGTAAACATGCTTTAACATTTCTACATATAAATTAGGCAAAGTAAAAATAAATACTCAAATTACTTAAAGCTAAAAGGAGACAAAACGGTTCTTAGCTTAGCATTGAGCCGCTTTTTATTAAAGATGCGGCGCTGATATTCTGTTAAGACCTGTAATTATTTTAAAGTCCAACTTAATAGTTTAAATATTAATATAGCAAACATAATAAATGCAAATTTCGTGATCACAATTGACACATAATATTGTAAAGTCACCATTAATGGATAGTTGCAGTTTTTTGACACTTCGAAATATAGGAATTTGCGTTCATTAATATACGTACGTGTTATCATGTTGAACAGACGCACAGTAAATAATAAAAATGATATTTAAGAAAAAATATAGTAAAAAAGATGTTTGAACAATCAGAACAATTGTCACAATATGATTGACATTATTTAATTTACAGTATCTAAGTTTAAGTTAGTACCTAGTTGCTCTTTCTGGTGTAAGTTAGTAGTAAGTAAAATTGTTTTACGTAATAAATACACTAAAATATAGCCATGTTCTAGTCGATATATATACATATATGTACAAATACTAGGTATAGATCTCTTCACTAACGAATGAAGAAAAATATGATAAAATGCATACAAACCAAATTAATAATTTATAAATGGCTTTAAATTTAAAACAATTTAGTTTTTATAACTGTTAAACATTTGACTAAAAACAATAATAATAAAACGAATGACTTGATTGACTTTAAAAAGTCAAACCTTAACGGTTAAAAATTTAAATCACAGATTATATCATTCTTAAATATAAATTTCGCACCTATAACTTACATTAAAAATACGCGTCTTCGGAAGTGAATAGTACTATACAGTGTTTATAGCGACTATTGCACACTAGTTGAATTTATAAATTTCACTTTGGTTATGGTTATACACGTGGATCATCTTTGCATTTTATTTTAAATGGATTCCTTCTATAATTTAGATTTGTAATCATTTTAAATAATACTGTTGGTCTAGTGGTTACTGCCCTTGACTGCTACACCGGAGGTTGAGGGTTTGATTCCCACCCAGGACAAATAATTGTGTAAGCATGGTCATTTGTTCTGTGTCTGGGTGTTTCCATCTATAATATGTTGTATTTAGAAATGTATAAGTATTTTTATCAGCAGTCGGATTAGACGACTGTGTGTGTGATGTGTAAAAATATTATTTTTATATGTAACACCAACATTACCTCTTGGAAATAATTTCCAAGAGGTGATCAGGCGTCTGCTTGTAACAGGAATATTTCTATATTAACCGCTGATCCGTAATTTATACCACACTCAGACTAGACACAAGTGTTGGTTTGAAGGCAGTAATTAATAGCTACAGAACCTAATAGGCAAAGCGGGCTGACGTGAATGCAAAATTGAATTTCTAATAAAATAAGCGAAACACGATATAATTTTCCCCAATTTTAGGTGATTATCATTTAATGTTATTTTCTGTACTGTAATAAACTGACTGAAAATGCGGAAAACCAAAACACACCGCAGTATAAAACTGAACAATGGACACTAACGCATCATTCCTGTCTAAGTCTTGTCTGTCTACTTGCAAATAGACTAAATGATGAATTTGCCAATTAACACGAAATGATTTCACATAATCAAGTCGAGCGACCCTGTCAACCGAAATTGAATTGATTCCTCACGAACTGATTTGATTAAAAATCTAATCAAAGAGCGTGGAAAATTGTGTCGTGTAAAAACTATTGCACCAAAACTTTTTCATACACAAGGCTCCACCTTACTTCTCTCTCCTCTCAATGTTAGTACATCAAAATAAAAGTAACACTCCAGGTACTGCTATAGGTAGGTAGGTATCGTTGGCCTGACTTATGCTCTCTCAAGGTGATTATTTCTTAGGCGATTAATGAAACCCGTCTTGTGCTGCCCTCTACAAATAAGCGTGATATTTTTATTTAAATTAAGCTGCCATTGTTAAATTATACACAAATTATATTTTATGTTTCGAAAGCAGTTTTTGTGATTCAGTTTGAAGTCATAATATTTAATAATTAGATATTTTTACACATATTTTTTTTCAAATCGTTATTATATAGGATTGTTTTTTGATTTTCTTATTAGTTTATAAAAATAACGAAGATCAATTTAAGACGAAACAACAGTATTTTATATTTATATTTACCCAATAGAATAAAACATGGCATTATGATTTCTATTCTATAAATATAAACATAAGGACCATCATAATATTGGATGTTAACTGTATTATTATGATTGTAGAATTTTTAAGTTCCATTAAAAGTGCTCTAAACAGTAGGTATTTTTTTACTAAGGGATGATGAATACCTGTTATCAATTAACTAATAAGTATAGTTTATATTATTAGATTTATTACATCCATTGTGATATTATTTTATTTATGGCAAAAAATAAAGCATTAATGATATCTTTCTTAGTTTTATTATTTATTAAACCATTTTTTTTTGTTGGGACTATCTAGTCGGCCTATTCTTCAATAGGCCGACTAGATAGTCCCAACAAAAAATAATAATATATGTTACACCCTTTTGGTTTTGATATAAAAATGTAAATATCAGTTCAGTGTCAAGCTATTGTTTTACAGGAGTTTGTAACAGTTTGTTTCCAGATGGTGGTAGTTCTGTTATCACACAGTATATGGAGAGCTTACCTAATCTATACAAATAAATAAAATTGGAGTGTCTGTTTGTAATATTAAAATAACTGCTTTTTACTAAATGCATATAATGTATGTTTACACGGTACAAAATAACATTTTTTACAATTTTTGTCTGTCTGTCT